TGATTTAAAATTCAAGATTAGTGCGGTTAGAAATTAAAATTATATTAAAAATATTTTTTTAAAATAAAAAATTATAAAACAAATATTGAAAAATTATTTTTTCATTAAAATAGTTATGATTAAAATTATCATATAGTATATTTTTAGTTTTTAATAATATATATAATTGTTTGTGTAAAATAATATTATATATATTTAATTTTACATAATAAGTCAACAGGTTCATTGCAGCTCAACTGGTAAAGCCGCACTCGGGCACAGAGGAGGTCCTGGGTTTAAGCCATGGAGAAGTCACTTTGAAGAGGGAATTATGTGGTGGCGACACGTGGCAGCAGAGGTGAGGTGGCAGAGACACGTGGAGGTGGTCCCTAGTGATGACGTGGCAATTGATAGAGGTACCACGTGGCATTTTATTTTATTTTAAAAAAAATCAGGTTAGCGACGGATTAGCGACGGAAAAGTTCCGTCGCTAATTTGCAACGGAAATTTCTGTCACGAATTAGCGACGGATTAGCGATGGGAAATTTCCGTCGGTAATTAGCGACAGAATTTTCCGTCGCTAATCCGTCACTAATTAGCTACGGAATTTCAATTCCGTTGCCAATCAATTAGCGACAAAGGAATTAGCAACAGAACAAATTCCGTCGCTAATTCCGTTGCTAATCCGTTTCTGCCGCTAGTCCGTCGCTAAATAAAAAATTCCGTCGCTAAAAGCATGTTTTTTTGTAGTGTAATCTTGTAATAACTAGAACATTGTAAGCGTTACCTAAATTTGTTTAGAGAATAACTACTCACTTTTGCTTAGCCAGGGGCAAAATTGTCAATTTGTCTTAATTTCACAAATGACAGATTGGGTCACTAACCCTTTCTGTCATTTTCAAAATTCTAAGACCCAATCTGGAATTTCCTATATTCCAAGGACTTTTTTGGAATTTTTCCCTTTTTTTTTTCTTTTTATTAATTATTCTAGACGATTTGTTATTTAAGTAAGATTGGGTTAAATTGAAGCAATTTATTAGCATTAAATAAATCATTTATAAGCCAACTTTCTTATTTAGGAATGCGGTAGGATGGATATGCACCCTCAATTTTATTAATGATTTCTAATGCATAACTTTTTTTTTAATATAGCTCATAGTATCCTCAAGTCATTTTGAATTTGAGACTAATATTTGTCCAGCCCGAAGTGTTAAGGTTAAAATTCTCTCCATAAATGTGATTCTCAGGATTCAAATTTATGTTCTCCTCTTTACAGGAGTGAGACCACTTACTATCTCAACTAATAACCAAACTTTAACAGCTTTAATTTAAAAATTAATCTTCTTTAAACCAAAGTATACACTTTTACTTACAAAATTAACTAAATTTTAAGCTAAACTTACCGTGAAGAATTTTTTAATTTAAAAATTAATCTTCTTTAAAATTAATCATCTGAACTCAACAAGTGCTACACCAAAGTATACAATTTTACTTATAAAATTAACTAAATTTTAGGCTAAAGTTATCAGGAAAATTTTCTTTTTAACGGCTTTAATTTAAAAATTAATCTTCTTTAAAAACATGAAAAATCTCATGTGGGCTCCAACATTGATTTGCAAAGTAAGTTTACAACTTGACATGCTTGTGTCCAAAATTAAATGTCCACACACATGAAATGTATGCAATGGAAGATGTGAACAGATTACATTCATTGAATTTAGATCCCCGTAAATTTTGTCATAAAAAATCTGTTTTGTTGAATGGGAAGAAAAAAAGGAGAGGAGTTTTAATAGAGGAGAAAGAAGAAAAAAAGAGTGGAGAAATTTTAATATTATGTTGTTTGAATTTATAAAAAAAAAGAGAGAAAAGTTTTAATATTACCTCGTTTGATTCATAAGAAGAAAGGAGATAAAATATTTTGACATAAACAATTTTACTCTTATTTTATTTAAGATTATTTTTTCAAATTTTATGGAGTGTTTAATAAAATAAAATTATATATAACATTTAATATATAAAACTATATTCTATAATTTTTTTGTCAGGAAAAATTTATTTTGTGATTATACTTATAATATATAATAATAATTATATGTTTCAATTCTTATCTGTTTGTTATTTTATTGGCTTTTGACTGAACTCTTCAAAATGTAACATGAACAATTCATTTGTTATTTTAGTGGCCTTGCGTTGTGGTGGGATAAGAGAGAGTAGCGGCTGCGTCTAGATAGAAGAAGAAAAAGGTTTTAAATGATATAGGGATATTAAAAATAAACATGAATATAATGGTTATGAATATGATAAAATATTATTCTTTCTCTCCAAATCCTCCCAATTTTATAGGGAAGATTTAAGAGGGGAGGGGAAGGAAAAATTTTCATTTTTCCTCCTATCTAAAAAATTTTATGTTGCCAAATAAGAGAAAATGATCAAAATTCCTTCTCATCCCTCATTTTCCTTCCAAATCCTTCATACCAAACACCCTCATAAAAGTCTTGTAAAATCTCTTTTGACCACAAAAAAAAAAAAGTTATGGAAAATCCTAATTAATTAATAAAAAGTTTGGTCTTCTTTGAAAGATACAGGGATAAAGTGCTAAGGTATTTTGAAAGTATACAAAAAGAAGCACCTAACACCCATACACTTCCACGACGATTTTGAGAATTAAAAACAAATTTTTAGGTGCTAGATGTTTTTTTTATATACTTTCAAGGTATTTTAACACCTTATCCTAAAGATATATTACAAAGGATTAATGCCCGAGGCTTTCTAGAATTTCAGACAAATTTTTTTTTATTGGACCAATTTAATTTCAGACAAAAAGACAAAATGACAGGGATCCTTTTCTTTCATTTACCGGCCTGCCTTGGAATATATACTAAACGTGTGCTTTACAAACATAGTTTCCGCGCCTGTGAAACCGCAGTGTGGGGCCCATTTTACTATTTTTAAATCTCATTTTCTCGCCAGTAATTTTTTTTTCTATTATTTATTACTTAGAGTAGATTCCGTGTATATTCAAAATAATTATAATTATATATGCGAGAAAATGCACGGAGCCCGCAAGCCAAAATTTTAATTAGTGGTTGAAATTAAGGATTTTTTAATTATTTCGTTAAGATTGTAAATCAATTTAGTCCAATTTATTGGTAATATATGCTACGTATATTCCTAAGATCACTTAACCATTATGAGAAATTTTGTTAATGCATCAATTGAATTACTCTATATTTATGTTATATTCCCTCTCTATTTTTTTAAATAAGAAACAATATCTCCCGTTATGGTGTCCTTTTGTCCGAGAATTTAAACTAGTCTTTTCACTCCATTTATTATCTTTCACGTATTATGTCTTGTACTATTTTTGAAAATAAAGTTATAATTGGAAAAATATATATATTTTACATATTTATTATTTTTAACTAAATTTAACTAACATTTTGAACGTGATTTGGTAGTTGCTTCTTATAATAATAAATGAGGGAATATTATTTTAAGACAATAATTCATGTATGAAAATTAAAAACCGACCTGTAAAATAGAAGATTTTGCATTTATTACGAAAACTAATGAAATTCAAAATTTTCTTGATTAATGCATGAATGAAATAAACGCTAAATTTTTCTTGCAGTAATATTATAAGTAAGATATTGCTTATGTAATACTCTCTCTGGTTCATAATATAAGACGTTAGTTAGGGGAAAAAAAAACTGTAGTCCAAAATAGAAGATTTTGTTAGAATAATTGATGTAAACTTTTTTACTTTCATTTCTATTAAATATAGGAGAGAGATTAGAGATAATAAAAGTATAGCATTAAAAGGCAATTTTACAATTTTCTAGGGATAAAATAAGAAAACTTTATTATTTTAAAACAAATTTAATGACTTCTTATATTATAGGATAGAAGGAGTAATATAGCTATTTGAGAAAGATATTAAACAAATTTATGCATTATGAAATGATTCACCAATCACATACGTAATAATTTCAGGCCAAAAAAAAAATCACACACCTAATAATTGACAAACAAAACCACTATATTTAAATAGCTTATTATTAATACTAATATTATATTTAAATGACTTAGAATATTTTTGGATGAAATACTCTTTTGGTTCTATTTATAGAATAGAGAGAGAAGATTTTTTTAATTCTATTTATAGAGTACTCAAAATTTTTTTTATGGATATATAATTTTACTTTTTGTTTATTATTGTGTTGACTTTGTTTACATGAGACATAATGTATATTAAACATGGATAAAATTGAAAAGTTGTTAAATTTTAAATGAGAGTTAATGAAATTTAATATTTTTCTTAGTCTATATGAAACATTTTAAAAGTAACTTATAAATAAAACCAGATGAGTAATTTAGTACGTAACTAATCAATAGAAAATAAATTGCCTGCAATGAATGTTATATACTTAAACTGCATGTAGTTACAGACCAAACAAAAAAAAAATCATAATTATGTCTGAAAGATACAATTTCTTCTTCGTTTAAAGCTCAGCAAATGTAGGAAACCTGCTAAATCATCTTCGATTATTGTTTTCTTTTTATATACAGGATATAATTTTTGATGTGCATGGTCTTATATGTATGATATATAAAAGATGCCTGAAATTTTAACCAATCTTTTTCTTCATTAGATGTCCTAACACTGTATCAATTAATCAGACACATTCTCTCTAATCTCTTTTTCACTGTTCATAACATTATCTCTAAGAACATTTTGAAAAAATACATTCTTTTATATATTTATTTATTACTTTTAAGGATTTTAATTCATTTTTATGTACATATTTAACTATTCATGCACAAACGAGTAGGAAAATTTTACCGTCAACGGACAAGTAAAAGCAAAGCGACTTCCTTTGAACTACTTGTCCTGGCAATCGATAAAAAATTGCCAAGGAGCTCATTCAAAGATGTTTTCTTTTTTGTCTTGGATTTTCACCCACTTTGATTTCCTTCCTTCGGGGATTTACTTCGTTTGACCCATTTTGGTTTCTCGGAAAGAGAGAGCGTGACGTCTCTCTAACTTCCGCGCTCCCTCCTCCTTTCAGGCTTTCACTGTGTGCCCGTTACAAACATTTCTCAGGCGACTTATATTTTTTTGTTTTTCCTTCACAGGCTTCCTGTTCTCCAACCAAACCCTCTTTCCTCCTTTTTTCGGCGCCTAAAACCCAATTTTTCGAATTATTTTTTTCACTCCTTGCAGGGATCACAAGTTGTGCTGGGAATTATAGTTCTTCCTCTTCTTCAAATGGAGTTCGTGGGCAGAACTGTTAAGAAGGAGGTCAAGGGGGTTGGGATTATTTCGGGAACAGTGAAATCTTTCGATTCATCGTCTGGTTTCGTTGAGATCGTTTATGAAGATGGTAATTCTGAGGAGCTTGAGTCGTCTGACGTGGCTTCTCTTGTTCAAGGGGAACCAGAGTTAGTAAAGGTGAAGCGCCGGGGAAGGAAACCCAAGAAGAGGCGTCGTGTAGAAAGGAAGCATGACACCAGTGGAAGCCCAGGTAATATTGATGAGAATTTGGGTGTTTCCATGCTAAATGATTCTGAATTGAGGGGGGTTTCTGATGAAGGTGTTTCTTCTAGTGGGAATTTTAAAGTAAATGGTGAATTAGGTAGTGGGTTGAAGGGAAGCCCGGGGGCGGCAAATGGGGCAGGAGGGAATTTGACTTTGGGAACTGAAATAATGGGGAATTTGAATTGGAGTGCCAGCTCTAACGGGATCAAAGAAATTCAACGGACGGAAAGCGGGAATGAAGAGAAATCCAAAGAAAGTATATCTACTAATGGTAATTCCAGCATAACGGATTGTGTAAAAGACGGGCTTGATTTGAATGCCAGACTTAACCTGAACGAGGCCTTGGATCTGAATGATGGATGTAGCTCACATGTTAATACTGAGAATGGTTTGAAGGAACGGGGTTGCATCGATTTAAATGTGGATGTGAATCATGAAATTGATGCCAGCGGGGACGTGACTGCTGTAGATTGTCCAGCAGTTGGAATTTCGAAGCGGGAATGTAATTTTGATTTGAATGAGGAGGTATGCGATGAAGCTAAGGAAACTCAGGGTGATAATGCTGGAGAGAAACTGTCAGATGGAGGTGGTTTGTTTAAAATGGGGCAAAGCCCTAAGTCAGAGACGGATATTAATCAAAATTCTGTACAAGATGATAGTGTTAAAGGAAATTTGGATTATATCCCTGATTCGATGAAATTGGAGGGAATTGATTGTTTCCGTGAGCGTACAGGTGAAGACGCTTCTGTGAGTATGATTGAGCAAAAGGAAGATGGAGGTACTGTGGCTTTTGACTCTCATGGGGTTTCAAATGCTATTTCTTCTAAGGATTGTGATTCTCTGGAGGTTTGGCAGGAGCATAGTCCTGAAGCTGGTATTGCTATAACTCAAGAATGTCAAAATGATCCAGGAAGCCAATATAAACAAGGAAGGGGCCGAAGGAAGAGAAGAAAACTATCAGAGAATCTAAAGGCCGCTCCAGAGACAGTTTTAAGGAGGAGTTCTCGCCGTGCATCAGCTCTAAAACGTGACTCAAGCCCTATAACAATGAATGTGATGGATGATCCTTTCATGTCTCCAGGGCCCAGTGCCATAACAGAAGAAAAAACGGTTGTTTCTGGTTCTGAGCAGTATGAACAGTGCAGTGAACTTCCGCCAAAGCTGCAACTCCCCCCTTCTTCTCAAAATTTGAACTTAGATAACATTCCTATTCTTGATCTTTTTTCCATTTATGCTTGTTTGAGGTCCTTCAGTACTATACTATTTTTAAGTCCTTTTGAGTTGGAAGATTTTGTAACTGCACTGAAGAGTGTAAATCCTAACATATTATTTGACAACATTCATGTTTCTATTTTACAAACTCTTAGAAAGCACTTGGAATACCTTTCAAATGAGGGTTGCCAATCTGCATCCGATTGCCTGAGGTATATTTTATTTTTGCATCCATTGGTCTTACAAATCAATATATTTGGTCTTGATTCTTGTGGATTATATACATTTTCATCATATTTTTTCTTGCAGAAATTTGAACTGGGATTTGTTGGATCTGGTCACATGGCCTATTTTTATGGCTGAGTATCTTCTGATTCATGGTTCTGGACTTAAAACTGGTTTTGATCTTAAGTACTTCATGTTTGGGGGTGACTACTACAAGCAGCCTGTAACTTTAAAGATTGAAATTCTTCAGTGCCTTTGTGATGATATGATGGAAGTGGAAGCCATAAGGTTGGAGCTTAACAGAAGATCTTTGGTTACTGAGGCTGATATGAGTTTTGATCAAAGTATGTATTTTGACATTTGCAAGAAAAGAAGAGCTCCGATGGACATGTCTGGTGGCTTTTCTCTGTCTGAGGAGGTTGTTGATGTCACAACTGACTGGAACAGTGATGACTGTTACCTTTGCAAGATGGATGGAAGTTTAATATGTTGTGATGGCTGCCCTGCTGCATTCCACTCCAGGTGTGTAGGGGTTGCAAATGACCATTTACCTGAAGGTGACTGGTATTGCCCTGAGTGTGCAATTGGCAGACGTAAGCCTTGGATGAAACCACAAAAATCACTTCGAGGAGCAGATCTTTTAGGAATTGATCCTCATGGTCGTCTTTATTTTGATAGCTGTGGTTACCTGTTAGTGTAAGTGTGCACATACCTTTTATCTGGATATTGATACTACTTCCTTGCTATTATAAATGTCAACTCTTCTTCTACTATAGGTGCTTGCACTGGGTTGCCTTATAAATAATAATTCTAAGTTTGGGAGCATATGTCAGAGGAATGCATGATATGGATTTACATAAATTGGAGGTCAGTCAAGAAAATCTTGGGCTTGTTTGGATGGATAGCACGGGATGGAATAGAATGGAATGAAATAATCAAAGGGGGTAGGGAAATTGCTTAGGAGTTTTATTTTAATGATAGAGTAGAATGGTAATTGACAATCTCTCAGACCACTTCCTGCTCCCAGTTAGCATCTCAGCCAATTACAATTATATCCTCCTTGGTTAAAAACTTGCTAGAATCACATTCTAATTGCAAGGATAATTTTTAAAATAATATATAAACCTTTCCATTTCATTAATGTCTCCCTATCTGGCCACATTAAATTCCCAAATAGTTGAGTGATGCATGACTTACCAGTCGGTTCCCTCATAAACTTCGAAACATAATTCTAGTCTTATTGTCGTTTTGGGGTGATTTGCAATGAACTAATGACTTCTATTTGATATTTTATGCTCCTCCCTGATCTGACTCACTGTGGTTGCCTTGCACCTTTATATGAGAAAATGCTAGCCACATTGTAGTTTTGACGATACAGATTTACAGTCCTATATTAATTTGTTTTGCCTTTGATCATCTTGCTTTCTGCTCACTTTATCTGGTTTTTAAAAATATTTCAGATCAGATTCATCTGACATGAGATCCTTGTTCAATTACTACCACATTAATGATCTGCATGTTGTAATTGAGGTGCTAAAAGCGGCTGATGCTTTCTATGGTAGCATATTAATGGCAATCTGCAAGCACTGGGAAATTCCTTTTAACTTAAATGGAGCAGCTTATCAGCTGGAACTCTCAAATCAAAGTGCTAGCAGGTACATGCACATGAAGACAGAATACTCTGCTATATATCCATCCCCAGCACCTTTTTCATCCTCAGAAGCATTCTTGGACACTAATCAGGCTGCCGATCAAAGAAATTATGAAGAAACTTCTACTGCACAACCTTTTGGCCAAGAGTTTCTCAAAGCTGAGAGACAGTTAGATTCAGTGATAACAACAGAAAGTCCCTGTGTTGCTTCAGAGGTATCAGCTGAAACAACAAAAATGAGATCAACCACTGATGATGATCCTCGAACATATGGATTCCATGATTCCAATAGACCTGGTGGAGCCCTGAATCAGCTGGGAATACCAGAGAAATTGCACACAGTCAGTCGTGCTTCTCTGAGGTCTTCCCGCTTAGATACAAGCCACAAGGTAAACTTAACATCTGCAGGTGCTGGTTATACCGCATCAGCTAAGTCCACTGGGAATAGAGCTACTTCAGAAATGCTATGTGGAACTGACTACATAAACTATTACAGCTTTGCTCGAACAGCTTCACTAGTGGCTGAGGAGTTGATACGTAAATCTCCTGAAAAAACCAACAAGAGTATTGAAATGTCTGAAGAAGACTTAATTTCAGAACAAGCAAAGGCTATTATTAAGAAATCTACGAACTTCTGCTGGCCAAGTTCTCAAAGTGTTAATGCAGCTGCCCGAAAGGAAAAATGTGGGTGGTGCTTTACATGCAAAGTTGAAAATGATGACAGAGATTGTTTGTTTAACTCTGTGGTGATGCCTATTCAGGAAGTTTCTAAAAGTGATTTAGTTGGATTTCAACCAAAGAACCAGAATGCCCATCTTAAAGATGTCATATTTTATATTCTCTCCCTTGAGGATCGATTACGTGGGCTTCTACTGGGGCCATGGTTGAGCCTCCATCATTCTAAGAATTGGCGTAACAATCTTCTTAAGGCATCTGATGTTGCATCTATTAAATGCTCATTACTGACTGTAAGGATTTGTTTCCTTTGTCTCTTCCAGTTATTTATTGCAAAATATATCTTTCAATAATCAGCTGTGTGAGTAGCTTATATTGCAATTGCAATATATGAAGATCTTTTTGACATCATTGATCGAGTCATTTCTTATTCGGTAGTATTGTGATGACCCATGTAAAATTTTCTCCCAAATCTTTACTAGCAGTAATTAAGTGGAACAAACTATTGTTGATCTATGTCAATATGTGTTTAACCCTCGACGAGTGGGTATCTCTGCAATTTTAATATTCTTTTAGCACTATTTGTTGATTACTAAATAGTCAAAATCAAAATCATACTTAGGGTTTGGCCAAGGGGTGCTGAGGATCAAATCATAGGATTCAATTAATAATTCGTTTGATCATGCCATCCCATGAAAGTAAGTTTTGAAAACGTATATTATTTCTTTCTGAATCATTAACTAGCATATTAGCTTCCTAGCCCTCATTAATGTACAAGTCACTTGAAGCACGCTTATTAAACATAATTAATTGTACAAGCTATATATAAAATGTGTATCACACAACTTGTTGATTGGCAATTCTGTTTTTCATTTACATAATTAATCATGCCTTTCTCCTGCTATTGACAACCGGGGGCTTGAACTTGTTCCATTGCTTTTGTGCTTTCTGTTGTTATTGAGGATGAGATGATGGTTTTCAGATTAATTGGATCTCAAGCCTCATCACCACAAACCTGGACGGGGCTCAGATCGTCTAGGTTTTGGATTTACATTGTCCTCTGGTTCATACTTAAGCATCCTTAATCTTTTCTGCAGTTAGAGTCCAACTTGCGGCCTCTTGCTCTTTCGGCAGACTGGTGGAAACATGTGGATTCTGCTGTTACCATGGGTTCGGCTTGTCATATTGTGGCCAGTTCACGCACATCTTGGAGGCATAGTATTGGAAGGAAAAGGGCAAGGTGCTCTGATATTGAGTCCAGTGCATCTTCTAACGCAAGTGGTTTGGGAACGTATTGGTGGAGAGGTGGTCGGCTTTCCCGTCATTTGTTTAATTGGAAGGTTCTGCCATGCTCTTTGGTTACCAAGGCTGCTAGACAAGGTTTGCAAATTATTTCCACAT